AAATGTGCATGGAAGCACTTAAGCATAGGTTAGGGTGGAGGGTAGAGGAAGAGAGTACTAGGAGAGATGAGTAGATTATGGTGCACATGTCAGGGCTGACCTAGAAACCTAGGTCAATAGAAACTCCCAGGAATCTACAAGGGTGACCCCAGCTAAGACTAGTAATAGGGGATCCAGAATCTCAACCTGCCATATTCTAGAACAACGTGACTTGTCCAGTGGAGGGACTGAGAGACCAACTCAGCAACAAAACCACCAACTTGCATGTAGTGGAGCCTACAAAATGAGGTGGGGTAAAGGTGTCTCAAAATCTGAGAGGCCAACTGTGGTGGTTGGAAAGAAAATGACTACTAAAGGGAGTGGTACTATTAGGAGGTATGGCCTTGTTTGTGGCAGTTTGTCACTGTGTGGAAGAACTGAGGAAAAACTGGGATTTCTTTCTTTTTAATTTTATATAACCAAGTCCATTTAAATGAAAACAAACATTTATACACAATATTTGGGAATTTGGGCATTGTTCTTTCCAAACTACTTCCTGCTGGTGAGGGACGCTGTCATGGGGGATTCAAAGAAGATGCAGAAATCCTGGCTGTAAGTCTGTAAGGCTGCTTTGTCCAGCTGTTTTGAATGTAGGATCACATGGTACTCTGTTTCAGGCGGTCTGGCTTGATGAAACCACATTAGTCTGGAAGGAATCCACATCTTTTCATTTTCTGTAGAAACAAAAATAGAAATCCTTTTCCCCAGTAACTTGTCCTTGAACTTAAATTTTGGAGTCAAATCATTTTTTAAAATTTAATTTATTATTTTAATTTCGATCCCAGTTCCCTCTCCCTCCCTCCCTCCTTCCCTCCCTCCCTCCCTGCCTCCCTTCCTCCCTCCCTCATTCCCTCCCTTTTCTCTCTGCCCTCTCACATGCACTCTAACCACCCTCTCCTCTCATCCCCCTACCCCAATTCCATATGAAGGGGAATGCCATCCAGTTGGGGTCATGTAGATCTGACAGGTCATGTGAAGTAGGGACTAGGGCTTCTCTCCTGCCTCTAGATTAAGGCAGTTATCCCTCCATGGGGGATGTGTTCGCGAAGTCCAAAAACTGGTGTTTCTATGTGAAATAAAAATTTTATTTTAAAAATATATTCATGAATCTATATAAGTATCTCATATGATATCAATGCATGAAACTATATTTAAAAAGACAGTGGAAGGACAAAAGCCACATGGCAACATATTCTGAAGTGTTGTAAACATCACTTCCTAACAGATGTTTTCCATTGATTCAACCATTGTCTACTTTACTAAGTATTGTATACTGCTTTTCTGTTTTCTTTATAAAAGAAGATGAAGCAGAGATGGTTACTCTTATATCCTATAATTACACACTCACATTGCTCAAAAGTAATGCCCAATTCAATTTCATGAGCTTTCACCTGTCCATTATTACTTCAATTAGTCTAAGTATAAGGGAAACTCAATGTGTTATCATGTCAGGCTCTTGTTTCAGGCTTTGAACAGACTATGACAGCAAGAAACTGGGTCTCTAGGATTCACAGAGCAGGAGAACGACATTTAGTATGTGATTACTGCAGGCCAGAATTAGCACTTAAATAATGAATTCGATTTCTTGAGTTGCAAATTTTAGGTCAGATATGGAACAATTTTGCAGGTTTTTATGCCCAATTAAATTAATAGTATTTTGGGAATCAAAATTGCTAATACAAAGTAAAATACTGATCCAGGGAGATAAAGAAGAAAGTGGGTTTAAACAGAGATTTAAGGATGTCAAGATCACAAAAGTTTCAATATAAAACTTGATTGTAGATAAATACCAGTCATAAGTTCTTTTAAATTTGCTGAATCAAGAAATAAAATGGGAATGAAGAAGTAGATGTACATGTTGTAAAATTCTAATTAACGGAATAGGGGGAAACAGTGCATTCAGTACAAATCTTTGCTTTCTGTCTGGAGCAGAAATACCTCCTGTTCACTGAAAGTCCCCATTGCCACTAGGGAACCATTCCAGTCACGATCACACTGATGTGCTAGAGAATGAGTTCTTATGCTGTCCCTTTACACTGAAGCAAAATATAATTGAACAGGTGAAAACCACTGGTTGAATACACCGATGGGAAATTCATTCATTACGTCTCACTCTCTATTCCTATCAGTATGCAAGACCAAGAACATGAACACCAGTCTGAAGATACTTGATCTCCCTACCTCAGAAAGAGGTATCTCAAAGTAGTTACATCATGGCAGCTCTCTCAATACAGCCCATGGAAAACAGTCAATATCTTATATGTTAAGAATAAAATGACAGGCATGGTGGTTCACACCCTTAATTCCAGCACTCTATGGGCAAAATCAGGAATAACTCCAAAGTCAAGGCCAGCCTGGTCATCACAGCAAATACAAGGGCTACACACACAGACCCTATCTTTAAGAAGCAAGCAAACAAAATTAATCAATGTATAAATAGTTAAACTGAGAAAAGAGGAAATATATAAAAAGCCAGTCAGTCTGACAGGAAGGGAATAGGGCTCTATGCCTACTGTGTGAGCTGAGAACCTCAGCTGTCACCAGAATGTACTGTAGAAAGATAATCTTCCAGCTGTCAATTAATCACCATACATTGAGCATCAGAATAGGAATGCCTGTACCTACTTGTGCTCTCTCTCTCTTTCTCTGTATCTCTGTCTCTCCCATCTCTTTCACCCATCACACACAGCATACACAAGCACACTTTTTTTGAAGTGTTAAAACTAGTCAGTGAACTAAGTTGAAAAAACCATGAAGTTCATCATTAGGCAATATTCTGGCTTCTTTAAACCATATGTAAATTTTTAAAGTCTCTTATTTTCCATTTTTGGTCATTCATATCTAACTGCAAAAAGTAGGGTACATATTTTGTAAGATAACCAAATCACAAAAACTAAAAATGCTTTACATCTTTTTATATAATTTATGTCTGCAGATATATGCATTGTTGTTCACTACTCCCATGTTTGATGAATACTTGCATGTCTGTTGTACTTGGAAGCAGAAGTGGCCACTGGAGTGGCACTCCTTAGATCTGGAGTGCTTTAAACCCCAATATGGATACTGAACTCTGGTTTGATGTAGCAGCCAGTCTTAACTACTGAGCCATCATCTCTCCAGCCATAGACATTTCCCCCTTGAACCACTGAATTATTGGTACAGGAAAAAAGACTACATTATGGAATCATGTTTATGGAAACCTGGCTGGGTTTTTGGTTATTTATTTTGTTTTGTTTTGTTGTTTTGTATAATCAATGCCAAACAAGATTATTTAATCAATTGAAATTTATTTGATTAAATATACATTACCTCTACATTTGTCTAAAACCATGGTGAACACATTCCAGGTAAAGATACAAAGCATTTCCAGTTTATGATAGACCAATAATAAAATTACATTTATAAAACTACCATAATTATGAATAGGTAGTCCACCTGAAAAATACTATACAGAATTAAATAAAATGGAAAAAAATTACCAATAAGATTCAGAGTTAAATCATCCTTATTTACAAAATGCTATTCTTTTACCATTTGATTTGAGGAACAATATTATCACATAGGAACAGCAGTTACCTAAACTTCATGGAAAAAGAAAATGGATGCCGAGGAATCGGTCAGGTCTCCTCTGTCTCCAGATGTTCCAGTACAGGCTGGAGGTTCTGGTGCATGTTGACTGGAAGCAGGATTCAAGTCAGGAGAGAACTCATTTCTACTTTGAGATGTAAGAGTGGTGGAAGAACTTGAATCTTGGGGGAAGATAAGATGGAAAGCCCCTTCATTTGCGCACATTTCTCCCTGTTCCAAGAGACAGGAAAAAGACAGTGGGAGTTGAAACCCTGTACTGCAACCTTGTTAAACCAATAGTTCCAGCCCTTATTCTGGTATCCAAACATTCATACCACAATATTTGATCTGCCAAATAAATCTTGACATTACACAATGGACATTTTAGCTACAAAGGACTAATAATAACATCACAAAAAATTTCAAGGGTGTTTGTCAATGGCAGCTATGCAAGATCTCAATACAGTGCAGACTTAACTGGAAATAAGCTTTTCAATACATTAAAACTTTGAAACTTAACATTCAGGTCAGTGAATGTTATCCTATTTGAAGCATTTCCTGTCATGCCAAGGACAACCTTAAATCCCTCCACCACCAAAAAAAGCCTCATGGCATGCTCATAGAAACTTAAGACTAAAGGTGAGGGCACAGAGCAGACACCTAGGACAACTAAGCTAGTTCTTATCTAGTATTGGAAATATGATTTTCTGTGTGGAAACATGTGATTCCAAAGGGGGAAATTATGCTGTAAAATCAATAAATTACTTTTATTTTCAAATGTAAGGGTAGGAAAGAATTTCAAAAATTCAATTAATGACTAAATATGATCTTAGATTTTAATTAGGATCATGTGGGAACCACTTCTTAGGAGACATACTTAATACTTTAAAACAATTTAGCCAGTAATCATAAGACAAACATCTAAGTAATTATTTTAAAGAATTTTTTATTTTAAATATTTTAAATATACACTTATATTACATGAAGTACACATATACTTAACATTAAAACTGCTTGCAACTGAACATTGGTGGCACAGGCCTTTAATCCCAGTATTTGGGAAGCACAGACCAGGCTAGCCTTCCAGTTAAGGCTCCAAAGCTATAGGGAAACCCAGCCTTGGGGAGAAAAACAAAGCAAAACAAATACCTGCTTATACATTCAATGATCTTATGACCTATCATATTACAGTTAAAATTCAAATTCAAATTTGCCTAATATTGATCAAGGTGAAGCTTTTACTTCCTTTGATGCTGGACAGTAACCTGTGAACCATATAAACCCTTTCCCTCTCAAGTTGGTTCTGGCTAGTCTTTCTCCCAGTAAAAGGAACCAAACTTGATGGAAAGCACAGATAAGCACTGATACAAACACGGACCTTTAAAAAAGCCTACATGGCATTGGAGGAAACTGCAGGCCTTCAAAATCCCTTATTGGGGCATACTGTTGAGGATCTGCACAGGTGTTTCTTGGTGGAGGAGTTGGTGGGATCTGTCCCCTAGGATCACCTGGTAAGGCAGGGCCTCCAGGGCCTCTAACCTTGGGAACAAGTGGAGGAATCAAGCCATGGCCAGCTGGTTGGCATTCAGCATGGACATAGTTGGGCACACCTGCCTTCTGTAACAGAGAAACAATCAGCAGTAAGTAAAGACATTTGATTAACAGCTCCTTTCCTGGGTGTGTGAGGCATAGAAGAAAGCAGTCCATTACATTCTAGTTAGGCTGGGGATAGGCTCAGTATCCCATAAAGGTGCAGGAGCTGCTTATTTGTTATTCTAAGTAGTTTTACTGACTTCACTCTCTCTACACCTCTTCCATATTGTAGTTGAAGTTCTAGCTAGGGCACTAAGACAGCAAAAGGAGATCCACGGAATACAAATTGAAAGTAACAAGTCAAACTTTCACTATTTGCAGATGATATGACAGGTTACATCAGGGAATACCTACCACTGATAGACACCTTTACCAAAGTGGCAGGATACAAAATTAACTAAAAATATAAAAAAATAATCACTAACCCTACTATATACATATGATAAAGGGGCTGAGAAAGGAATCAGAGAAACATCTCCTTTTTTGCATTATCCAAGACAACATAAAATAGCTTGGGGTAATGTTAACCAAACAAGTGAATAACTTATTTAATAAGAATTTTGAGTCTTTAAAGAAAAAAAATTAAAGAAGATACCAGAAAAATGGGAAGATCTCTCATGCTTTTGGATAGGTAGGATCAACATAGTAAAAATAGTAGTCTTTCCAAAAGCAATCTACAGATTCAATGCAATCCCTATCATAAACCCCAGCACAATTCCTCACAACCTTGAAAGAACAATAGTCAGCTTCATATGGAAAAACAGTAGACCCAGGGTAGGCTAGACAATGTTGTATAATAAAGGAACTTCTTTCTGGAGGCATCACTATCCCTTTCTTAAAGCTCTACTGTAGAGGTATAGTCCTGAAAACAGCTTGGATCTTTCACCAAAATAGACAGGAAGACCAATGGAATGAAATTTAAAACACTGATATTAACTTATACATCTACCAATACCTGATTTTTGACAAAGCAGCTAAAATTATACAATGGAATATAAAAAGCATTTTCAACAAATTGTGCTGGCATAACTGGAGGCTGACCTGTAGAAGACTCCAGATCACCATAAATAATACTTAAGTCTAAATATATCAAAGAAAGACCTCACCATAAATCCAGCCACACTGAACCTCCCAGAAGAGAAAGTGGGAGGTATCCATTAACACATTGGTACAGGATACAGCTTCCTGAACATAACTCCAGTACCACAGACTCTGAGATCAACAATTAATAAATGAAATCTCTTGAAATTGAAAAGCTTCTTTAAGACAAAGGACACAGTCAACAAGACAAAATGGCAGCCCATAGAATGGGAAAAGAGCTTCAACAACCCCACATCTGACAGAGCGCTGATTTCCACAATGACAAAGAACTCAAGAAGCTAGGTACCAAAACACCAAATATTCCAATTGAAAAGTATGGTACAGAACTAAACAGAGACACCTAAGAATGTGTTCAAAATCCTCAGCCACCATGGAAATGCAAATCAAAAAACTCTGAGATATCATTTTACTCCTGTCAGAATAGCTAAAATCAAAAACACCAATGACAGTTTATGCTGGAGAGGATATGGGGACTGTAGTCCATTCTTCCACTGCTGGTGGGAGTGCAAACTCATACAGACACTTTGGAAATCAGTATGGTGGTTCCTCAGAAAAATGGGAATCAGTGTACCTCGAGTTTCAGTAATTCCACTCTTAGGCATATACCCAAAATATGCACACTCATACAACAAGGACATCTGTTCAACTATGTTCATTGAAACATTATTTGCTCAACTGAAGAATGGATGGAGAAAATGTGGTACATTTAAAGAATGAAATACTATTCAGAGAATAAACAACGTAATCTGGAAATTTGCTGGCAAATGGAAGGAACTAGATGAAACCATCCTGAATGAAGTAACCCGGTCACAAAATGACAAACATGGTATGTACTCACTCATATATGGCTTTTAGACAGAGCAAAGGATGACCAGCCGACAATCCACAATGCTAGAGAAGCTAGGAAATAAGGCGGACCCTCAGAGAGACATACATGTTGCCGTGGAAAAGGAGAAATGGGCAAGATCTCCCTAGTAAATTGGGAGAATTGTGGATGGTGGGAGTTAGGGAGAAAATGATGAGAGAGGTAGGCATGATGGAACAGGAAGATTGAGTTAGGGAAAGATTAGGGGAGAGCAAGAAAGGAGACATTATAATAGAGGGAGCCATAACAGGTTTTAAGAGAAATCTGGCACTAGGGAAATGCCAAGAGATCTATAAGAATGACTCCAACTCACAATGTGAGCAATAGTGGAAAGGCTGCCATAAATGGCTTACCTTGATAATGAGATTGATAACTAACTTATATGTCATCATAGAACCCTCATCTAGTAGCTGATGGAAACAGAAGCAGCACCCACAGCTAAACACTGAGCCAAACTCCTAGAATGCAGTTTCAGGGAGGGAGAGATGTTGAAAAAAGGGTGAAGGTCAGGCTATAGAAACTCACAGAGGCAGCCTACCTGAACAAGGAGAAACTCATGTACCCAAAACTGATAACTGGGTAATCAGCATTGTACCGATTTAGACCTCCAGAACTTGGGTCTCAGGTAGAAGGCCTGGTAAGTCTAAGGGGCCTCTGAGAGTGTAACCAGGATGTATCCCTGGTGCAAAAAAGGACTTTGGGTGCACATTTTCCATGAAAGGATATTCACTTAGCGTAGCGCCAGGAGGGAGGGCCTAGTCCCTACTTCAAATAATTTGACAGATTTAGATGATCCCACCTGGAAGGCATCACCCTCCCAGTGGAGGGTTACGGGAATAGGATGGGAAGGGAGAGAGAGGAATAGGGATCAGTATCTAAAACAAGAAAAAATAATAAATATAACTAAAAGAAGATTCAAATAAGAGTTCAAGGGAGAAAATCTGAAATCGTGTACAGCACCTAAACAAGCTTTGAATTTCATGTAAACGTTGTACTTCTTTTAGGGCAATATATTGGGCTTCTTTCTCTGTTTTTTATCTTAATATATATATTTTTTTCATTAACAGGAATGGATGTTTTCCTGCATGTACGTCTTCATACTATATACATTCAGTTTTCTGGAAGGATACAATAAGCCTTCAGATCCCTTGAAACAGGAGGTAAGAAGGTGCTGGGAATTAAACCCAAGTTCTTTAGGAGAGCAGCCAGGGCTCTTAACCTGTAAGCCATTTAGCAAGCCTATGTGGATTTTTGAGACAAGATCTGCTTATAAGTCTCACACTGGCTTTTAATTTACCATCTTTCTGATGTAGCCTGCCAAAATGCATGAATTACATGGACTATCAAAACCTGTCTTGTGATCTGTACTATTTCACAGAAGGTTACAAGCCAACAATGAGAATGTTAACTCTAAGTACAGGTATATTATATTAATATCATAATATCACAAAGTAGAAGAGCTCTCACCTTGTTCTAATAAAACAGAGAAACTAGTTGTGAATTCTTGGGTAGAATTCAGTTTCCAATACTTACCCCAGGGTCTGTTGTGGTGGCATTCTTCTTGTATTCCAACGTGGAGGATGCTGGCCCATCTAGACAGGAAAATTAAACCAGGAGAACTTCATGAGTTCTCACTTTATCCCACGACTGTTTCCAGATCCAAGTGACCCTGACATGTTCCACTCCCCCTGGCCAGTACAGAGAACAACTGGACACAAATACAATAGTATTCCTCATTAGGGTCCCCAAAGCACCATGAGAACCTTGGAAATTTCAATAGGAAAAAAACACATTCTTTTGCAGTGTGCTGGTGACCTTTCCAACAGGCTCTTAGGTAATCTTACTGAGGTATCCTAAGGGAAGAACTCAGGATGAAGCATCTGCTTCCTCTGTCTATGTGTGCCATCCCTTCCCTCAGTATATAACATATATTTTTGGTAAAAAGTGCCCTTATAGATAACAAATACACAATGAAAATTTAAATGCTTTCATTTTATACTTAATGTGATTTTGTGTCATACCTACAATAGATACACATCTTTCCCACCTTCAGAGGGTAGTGAGTGATAACTGAAGAGGTCCTGGGAGAGTCACTCAACTAGATGAAAAATGATTAAATAAGGTAACTAATAAAGAACATGAAACCAAAAAATTTTACTGGTTGTCTTACACATATCAACTTACATTTTCCTGGCTAAAATTTTTCACTACTACACTGGATATAAATAAATGGTTTAAAAAGTTGAGAAGTTAAAAAAAAAGTTAACAGGTTTGCTATTGAAAAGAGTATTACAACCCTTGAAGGAAACCCTTCAAATGGCAACAAAACTAACCTTAACACATACATTAGATGACATACATGAAATATGACACAACAAGAAAGGGCTAGAGAAATGGGTTTACAGGGTAATGGTATGGGCTGCTCCTCCTTTAGGACTTATGCTTAATAGCAAGCCACTACACAGCAGCACACAACCATCTGTAACTCCACTTCCTGGGGCACTGATGTCCTGTTATAGCATTCTGTGGAATCATACACATATATCATACACAGAAATCAGATGGTAGAGATGACAGATTAATGGGTGCTAACGGGGAATGCAACTAGGCCAAAGGAGAGAAGTGACTTATAGTGAACTGCAATGTGGATGGTGTCAGGGAAAAGAATATAAACCTATGACAACTGAAATGGTACTTGTCTATTACTTGAAATCATGAATTACTGTGTAGAAACTTGAGTAACCAAAGGGGACATTAGGATGTAAAACCAAAAATTATTTTTATTTAAAAATGTAAGTGTATAAAAAAATTTCAAGGACTTCAAAAATACTTATGTTGGAGAGGCTGTGGAGGAAGAGGAATGATCATCCACTGCTGGTGGGAGTGCACACTTGTACAGCCATTTTGGAGATCAGTATGGCGGTTCCTCAGGAAAACAGGAGTCAGTCTACCACAGGTCTGGCAATGCCACTCTTAGGCATATACCCAAATGATTTACATCCATGCAACAAAGACATATGCTCAACTATGTTCATAGCAGCATTATTTGTAATAGCAAGAACCTGGAACTGAAGAATGGATAGAGAAGATGTGGCACATTTACACAACGGAATACTACTTTACAGAAAAAAAAAAAAAAAAAAAAAAAAAAAAAACAATGGAATCTTGAAATTCACAGGCAAGTGAATGGATCTTGAAGAAACCACCCTGAATGAGGTAACCCAGTCACAAAAAGGGGAACATGATATGAACTCACTCATATATGGAATTTAGACATACAGTAAAGGATCACCAGCCTATAATACACACCTCCAGAGAAACTAGGATACAAGGAGGATTCTAAGAGATTCACTTAAGGTCAGTCAGAGAAGGGGAAAGGGACAACGTCTCTGAGCATTTTGGTATTGGGGGGGGGGACAACAGTGAGTGTAGAGGGAGCTAGGAGAAAGAGAAGGGGAGTAGAGGAAAGCACATGGGACTTGAAAGATTGAGTCAGAGGAGCAATAGACGAGAGGAGAGAGAGAGACAGAAAAGAGAGAGAGAACGATAAAAGAGGGAGCCATTAAAGGTTTGAAGAGAAAACTGACTCTAGAGAAATATCCAGTGACCTACAAGACTGACCTCAACTAACAATTTGAGCAACAATGGAATGGTTACCATAAATGCCATTTCATGATAAGGAAATCAAAGACCCTAACCCTAACCCTAACCCTAACCCTAACCCTAACCCTAACCTAACTAACTTATCCTGCATCATGGAGCCCCTCATCTAGTAGCTGATGGAAACAGAAGCAGACACCCACAATTAAACACTAAGCTGAACTGGAATCTAATGCAGAGAGGGAGGACAAGACCAGACTTCAGAAACACACAGAGACAGCTGACCTGAACAAGGAGGAGCTAATGGGCCCCAGACTGATAGCTGGGAATCCATCATGGGACTGAATCAGACCGCCTGAACATGGGTCTCTGTTAGAAGGCCTGGGCAGTCCAAAGGACCTTGGAAAGAGGAACCAGGATGTATACCCGGTGCACAAATGGACTTTGGGAGCACATTCCTTTAACCTGGAGGCAGAAGGGGAAGCCTATTCCCTACTCGAAATGACTTGACAGATTTAGGTGACCCTTCCTGGAATGCATCACCCTACGTGTGGAGTGGGGTGGTGGGAGTGGAGGGTGGTCTGAGGGCATGGGAGAATGGGAGAGAGGGAAAGAGCAAGTGAGGGAGAGGTAACTGGGATTGATACGTAAAATAAATAAAGAAACAAACAAATAAAAATTGTATATCTCCCTCTTTAAAAAAATAAAATACAATCATGTGGGAACTGCTATTCAGGAGTAATACTTGAAACCACTTTTAAATAACTTTTAGAAAACATATAACTAATTATTCAAATAATGGCCCCAATGCATTCCTATGAAATGAAACACACATAATTAAAATCTAAAAACTACTTGCAAGTGGGCATTGTTGATACAGGCATTTAATCCCAACACTTGGGAAGCAGAGAGATGTAGATTTCTGTGAGTTCACAGCTAGTCTGTTCTACTGAGTGAGTTCCAGGGCAGGCTTCCAACATATACAAAAACTTTGCCTTGGGGAGAATAAAACAATCAAACAAAAATACCCCACAAACAGCCTGTACATTTGCTGATCTTCTGGCCTATCACAGCACAGTTCAAATTCAATGTTCCCTGAGGTGGATCAAGGTGAAACCTTGTCTTACTTTGTTGATGGAATGTATCTTTGAACCATGAAATCGGTTTCCCCCTCAAGTTGGTTCGGGACAGTATTTCTCCCAGTAACAGAAACCAAACTTGAGTAAAAGAACAGACAAACATTGATACATGCAGGGACCTTTAAAAATGCCTACCTGGCACTGGAGAGAAAGGTGGGCCTGCAAAGTCCCTGGGTGTGACATACTGTCCGGAATCTCCACAGATGTTTCCAGGAGGAGGTGGAGGCAGGATTGGACCTCTTGGATTCCCTGGAAAGGCAGGGCCTCTAGGGCTTCTGACCAAAGGATCCAGTGGAGGAATCACGTCATGACCAACCGCATTGCATTCAGGAGGGCTAGAGTTGGGCAAAGGTGCCTTCTGTAACAGAGTCACAATAAACAGTCAGTGAAGCTTCTTGATTCATAGCTCCTTTCCTGTGAGTGTAGGAATTCCAGAAAGCCTGGAAACAGCCTGAGTTTTCCACATGTGTGTGAGAGCCACTTATTCACAGTCAGAAGTAGTTTTACTATCTCAACAGAAAGCTTTATGGATGGAACTAATCTTCTACCTAGCTCCACCTCAAACACAAGTACAGTAAAAGCAGATCAAAACAGACACTTTAAAAAACAGATATACACCAGGATATGGTGGCACAGGTCATAAATCTCAGAACTTGTCTATTAGAGAAAGGTGAATATCTGTCAGAATGAGGGTGCCTGGTCAATAGAGTGAGTTCCAGGACTGACTCAAGATCTACTGGGAAATCCTACCTCTAGGAAAAAACAACAAACAACAACAACAAAACCCCCCAAAACATAGAACTTTTATCAAACATAAATGCAAAAGGAAAATGTTTAACATGTTGGTGATATCAAAATGATCCAAATTAATTTTATATTTGAAAAATGAAATACATGTTTAGATTCAAATACGATTCAAGGAAGAAAATCTGAAATAGTAGACAGCACATATACAAGCTTTGAAGTTCTTCTAAAAGTTGTACTTCTTTAAGTAGGAGATATCAAGTTTCTTTCTCTTGCTTTTTTTTTTTGTATATTTTTAATGCCAAAGAAATGGGTGTCTTGCTTGCATGTATATCTGCATACTCGACAAATTCATTGTTAAATTTTTGGTTGTGAGCCTTGCCTTTAATGGCTGAGCCATCTCTCCAGCCCTATAAACTCATTGTGAAAGAATGATAGGATAGGGCTTCAGATCCCTTGAATTGGAGGTAAGGATTGTCTGCCTGAAATCATGTGCTGGGATTCAAACCCAGCTCCTATGGGAGAGCAGCCAGTGCTATTAACCTGTTAGCCATTTCTCTAGCTCAGTAGTTTTTTGATTCACAATCTATGTATATTGGCTACACTGGCTTTGAATGTACCATACTCCTGCCTCATGATGTGGGAGTTGGAAAAAACTCGGATCTTGCGGTGAGGTAAGATGGAAATACCCTGGGTTCAATCACATTTCCCATGTTCCAAGAGATGGGTAAAGGACAGTTTAAGTTCAAAGCCCAAATACAAAACCGAAATCTTCAGCACTTGTACTGATATCCCATCACTCAGACATTACTTGATCTAAGAAATAAATCTTGACATTGAAAAAAAAAACTTCTTAGCTACATAGGACTAATAAGAAAGAAAGTCTCCAGCAATTTCAGGTATATTTTCCCTATCTTGGAAGCTATGCAAGATCTCAATACATTGGAGACTTACTGTAAAATAGATTTTCAATAGAGTAAATCTCACAGACTTAACATTCCCATTATGATCCTGACCTGATATCCTACAGGATACATTTCCTGTGTTGCCAATGAAATAAATTCCCTCCAAAATTCTCATATCATTCTCCTAGAAGGTTAAGAGTAGTTGCCATGGCAAAGTACAGACACTTAGGACAACTTAGCTGGTTCTAGTCTAGTACTTGAACACTTGATTTACCGTATAGGAACATGTGAAGCAAAAGAGAAAATTATGCTGTATAGTATAAACAACAAATAACTGTTATTTTCTTTTTTTATTTGTAAAGGTTTATTTATAAAATGCATGCATATTACCCAGACTGATTTTTAGCAAGTATAATTGCAAAATTACCTTCTTCCAAAGGTTCATACATTTTTACAGTTACATATGGCTTTTTCTATTACACTAAATTTATAGCAAGTATAACTTTTTATTAAAATGACAGGAGAATTAAATCCCAATGTGATTAACCACAAATAACATATTAAAGGTAAATGTTTTTAAATGCATGAAATAAGTTTCTTTTTTGTAAAATAAATGAGCATTTCCTCTAAAAAAAAAAAAAAGTGTGGAAGATGTAGCCTTATAGCCCAGATGATAACGTATTTGTCTAACATTCAATAAGCCCTGTGTTTGATCCTCAGCATAAACCATGTGTACTGTACAGTATGTAGTCCCTGTTCTAGGGAGACACTGGCAGGAAGATTAGAAGTTCAGGCTAGTCCTCAGCTAAATAGTAAGTTTGAGGTTAGCCTGGGCTACAAAAACACCCTGTCTCAAAGGCAGAGAAGAAGAGAGGGAGAATCAAGGAAAAAGGAGGTAAGAGGAAAAGGAGAGAGATGGATGTATAGATAGATGATAGGTAGATGGATAGATGGATAGATGGATAGATAGATAAGTGGATAGGTTGGTAGGTAGACAGACAGATGATGATCCTTGGCCACGATATACCTGAAGGGCTATTAAACCTTTCAGATGGGAAACTGGCTACTGTTGGGATTGAGGACAGTTCAATTTGGCAGCAAGAGATGGGCTTTGAGTTTCTTTGCCAGTGAGGCGATCAGGCTTTGCATCCTGAGGTCTTTGTAATAAAGTATCATCTTGATCGCATCCCTGTGCATACCCAGCCCCATTATACAACACCTTCTGTCTATGGCGATCTTCTCATAGCTGTTCAGGCACCTCGCTTGTGTTGATGGATTTTTTTTTATTTTATTTAATTTTATATAACAAAGTCCTATTAAATGGAAACAAACTTTTATACACAAGATTGAAGATTGATCCTGGTTAGGAATAACTGTTATTTTCAATTGTAAAGGCTGGAAAGAAGTTGAGGAATTCAACAAATTCAGTGAGGTCCATGACTGGCACTATATTTAATGGGAAATGGGAACACTATCTCTAGTAAAAAAAAATAGAAAAGAAAACATAGACACTTTTTAATCGAACACACACACACACACACACACACACACACACACATACACACAGAGGAAAATGATTGATATGTGGACATTTATAAAATGACAAAGTCATTTGAAAAGTAAAATACATACATATTAATATTCAAATAAGATTCCAAGGAAGAAAATATGAAATTTTGTAAAGCAAGTAAACAAGCTTGGAAGTTCATGTAAAAGTTGAACTTCTTGAATGGGAGATATCTGGTTTCTTTCTCTTGTTGGATTATTTTAGTATTTTTTTTTAATTTCACAGATATGGTATATTTTCCTGTATGTATGTCTGCATACTATAGTCATTCAGTGTTCTTTAAGGATAGAATATGCAAATCCCTTGGAGGTAAGATGGATTGTGAGCCACCACTCCTAGCTTGGGAATTAAACCTAGGTCCTGTAGAAAAGGAGCCAATGCATTTAACTTGAATGCCATTTCTCAAGTCTGTGTGGTTTAATGAGGCACATTCTGCATATATAGCCCACACTGGCTTATATATTCCCATCCTACTGCCTCACTCTGGAAACTGCTGGGATCACATGTACCATCAAACAAAGGCTAGTGAGCTAAACAATTTCACATAAGGTTACAGACCAACAAAGAAAGTTAATGCTAAGTGCAAGTATATTTAACTCAAGCCTTGCTCTAAAGTAAAGGTGTGCATCCACGGGTAGAATTCAATGTTCAGTAGAATTCAATGTTCAATGATGTTTGATGGCATTCTTCCCAGAATACAATGTGCAGGATAAATACATATATAATAGGTAAAATACATACATAATAGGATCGCAAAAAGATTTCAAGAAAGAAAATCTGAAAGAGGGTACTGAAAGTAAACAAGCTTGGAATTCATCTAAAAGTGTACTACTTGAAGTGAGAGATATCTGGTTTATTTCTCTTGTTTGTATATTTTAGGATATTTTTTATTTCAGAGACATGGGAATTTGCCTGCATGTATTTCAACATATTGTATTCATTCAATATTCTGGAAATATACGATAGAGCATCATATCCCATGAACAGGAATTAAGAAGGATGGTCATCAACCACACAGGAGTGGGGAGTTAAACCCATGTCCTGTAGGAGAGCCAGCCAGTGGTCTTAAAAGTGTAAGCCATTTCTCTACTCTAGGTGAATTTTTTGAGGCAAATCATCTTAAATAACCCAGACTGGCTTGAAATTCCCCTCCTCCTGGGTCAGCCAGCAAATTGCAAGGAACGCATGGACCATCAAACTCTGGCTTGTATTCTGTAAAATTTCACAGAAAGTTACAAGCCAACAATGAAAGTGTTACACTTAATTGAAAGTATATTTAATTAATATCACATATGAAACAACTCTAGGCTTGTTCTAATAAAATAAGAAACCAGTTGTTGATCTATAGGTAGAATACAATTTCTAATACTTACCACAGGGTCACGTTTGGTGGCACTCCTACCAGATTCCAATGTGGAAGTTACTGGTGCATCTAGACCGAAAAATGAAACCAGTGAAACTCATGAGTTCTCACATTATTCCCAGACCATTTCCAGATCCAAATGACAGTGACTTGTTCCACTCCCCTTGCTGGGACACAGAACAGGTGGACATGAAGCGGCCCCAGATTTAGACAAAATTCAAAATTACGGACATACTTTTGTAGTATGTGGCTGATGCATAAAAATGACACTTGGCAAACTTGACATGTCAACCTAAAGGAACAAATTTGGATACAGCATGTACTTCCTGTTTTCAAGGTGTGCCAACCTTTCCCTACTATCATATACTTTCAGTTTATAGGAACCCTTATAGATAATGCAACAATTACACAATGAAAATTGAAATTTCTGAATTTTATTATTTCTTAATATTAGTTACTATAATATCTATAGTAGATAAACAGCATTCCCTACATTAGTGAATAGTTAGTGATAGCTGAAGACATCCTGAAGGAATCAATCGACTGTATATAAAAATATTAAATTAGATAATTAAGAACAAGAACACAAATTATTTTACTGGTAGTGTTTTACATATCCATTGATATTTGCCTGCCTAATGTCCTTGTGTGGTAAACAGGATCTATGTAAATGCCTTAAGAAGAATGATGGAAGCTATGGAAGAGTAAGTTTGTATTACGACCAAATACAGGAAACCCTTCCTCTCCCATCAAAGCCAATCTTCAACACATACATTGGATTACAAGCCAAAAATATTAGACAAAATAAAGGTCTGGATAAATAGCTTAAGTGGTGAAGGGTATAGGAAATCATTACTATGGCATCAAAACTAACCTTACACACATACACACATTAGATACATGCCTATATCTGACACAGCATGAATGGTGTGCTCAAATGGCTCCAGTGCTCAAGTGGAAAATCTATTCTTTCTTTGGACCCGTGCTTGGTTCACAGAAACCACACAGCAGCTGACAGTCATCTGTAACTGCAATACCAGGGTCTCTGATGGCTCCTTCTGTCCTTCTCACTTCTCACACATGAATACATGAGATACACAGAAAGAAGATTGAAACATTGGAACAATCATGGGATATCTGCCAAGGAGGGCTGATAACAGGGCATACTACCAGCCCAAAAGAGACAAGTGCCTTGCACCGAAGCTCTATGTAGATGCTGGGAGCAAAGCCCAAGTCCTAAGTTTCTGCCGGAGAAGCCAGCATTAAACAGTAACCTACCCTTTTATCAACCACAGACGCTTCCCTCTAGAAACACAGAGTAAAACATAGTCATTATGGAACCATGTTGATGGGACACTGCCTGGGTCTAATATTAACACAGCCAAATAAGACTTTACTTCAATTAAAATTTGGGTGACTATAGCTGAAGGACATATACGTTTGTCTGGAACCAGATGTTTCTACTGTGCCTCTTTGGGGAAAGTAAGATGGAATGCGACTTGGCACCTCCACGTTTCTCAGGATCCAAGATTTAGGACTAGGACAGTGAAGTTGAGCCTGTGTACGGTTCATTTATGCAACCAAAAACTCCAGATCATGTTTTTGATGGGCCCAACTCAACACCACAATACATGATCAAACGAATAAATCTTGAGTGGAAATATGTACTTGTTAAGTACATAGCATTAATAAGAAATAACATCACTAACACTTTCAGGTGCATTTGTCCTATCTAAAGAGCTATATGAGATCTCAGTGCACTGAAGACTTAAGGTAAAAGAGCTTTTCAATGGAGTAAATTTTCAGAATTCACATTCCTATCATAAGACCAACCTGACATCCTAAAAGTGAAATTCCCTGTAATGTAAGAGAAAGCACTTGCACCCCAAAAAAGGCATATCATTCACCTAGGAGCATAAGACTAGAGGCCATGGCAGAGAGGAGCACTGATTGGTTCTTCTTATTCTTCTTCATGTTATAGACACATGGATACATGATTCACAGCAATAAAATAGTAAGTGTATTTTAGATTTTAAACATGATTGGGTGGGAACAATTTCTTTGGGGGAAAACTTTGAAGTAATTGACTCCAGAATTTTTAGCCAAAACATCGAGTCATTACATGCTATATTGGCCTCGTTACATTCTCATCAATGAAGACACAGAAATTTCATCTGAAAATGGTTTGCAGTTGGGCATGTGTGGCCCTGGAATTTACTCTCCGCACCTGGGAATAAAATATATGTGGCTATCTATGATATTAGGGAGGCCTGATGAACAGAAAATTCCGGGACAGGCACACCATGTGAGGTGGAGAGAAAAAAAAAGAAAAAGAGGCAATAAAAACAGACACAACTTGGAAATTTACAGTTCTACTGGCCTGGCAGAACACAATTCATTTTCAAAATTCCACAATGTGTATCAAGGTGAAGCCTTGACATCAAAGACTGTTGGACCGTAAACTGAGATCCCTCACGACCCTTTCCCTATCAAGTTGTTTCTGGCCACTGTTTCTCACAGAATCTAGAACCAAATATTAAGGAAAGCACAGATCAACATTGAAACATACTCAAGACTTTTAAAACAAAACCTACCTGGCATTGGAGGAAACGGTGGGCCCACAAAGTCCCCTGGTGGGACATACCATCCAGGACCTCCAAAGATGTTTCCTGGAGGAGGGGGTGGTGGGATCTGGCCTCTTGGATCCACTGCAAAGGCAGGGCCCTGGGGTCCTCTAAGCTCAGGACCAAGTGGAGGAGTCAAGTCATGGCCAGCTGCATCATGTGCACCATAGCCAGAGGTGGGCAAATGTGTCTCCTGTAAAAAGAGTGACAATATGCTGTCATTGAGGTAGTCTGCTTCACTACTCCTTTCCTGGGAGTGTCAGGCACAGAAGAAAGCATTCTATGACATTCCAGCAATCCATGTACAGCCCCAGGTTTCCAACTGTGTGTAGGTGCCGCGTAATCGCTCTCCTAACTAGGTTTACTAGTTCAGCACAAATCAATAAACATGGCAGTTACACTCTCCCTAGCTCCCTCTCAAACAAAAACACAGTTCATGCTGATCTAGATAGACAGACACTTTATGAAATAGATATGCACCAGGAGGTAGGTAGAGACAATGGCCTTCAATACATGGACTAGAGTTCAGATAGTGGTATAGTCCTGTCAGTATGTGGCCACATTGTCAATACAGTGGGATCGAAGACTGGAATCATCTCTAATGGAAAAACCTTTCTGGAGTGGAAAAATAAAGACACTTTTTATCAGACACACACAAATGGGAAAACTTTTGAGATGAGGACATGTTCACAATGAACAAAATCAAGGGTGTATGTGAAAAGTAATATAGATACAAATTAAGATTCCAGTATGATTTGCAGGAAGGAAGTCTGAAATAGAGCATTGCAAGTAAACAAGTTTGGAATGTCATCTAAAAGTTCTAAAAGTTGATGTGGGAGATAATTTTTTTTCTTTTATTTTCCTGTTGTATTTGTTAGCATTTTTTTCCCATTTCATATAAAGGGCATTTTTGACTGCATGTATGTCTGCATGCTGTTTTCACTCACTGTTCTTGAAGGGCAGAATAGGATATCAGATCCCTTGAACTGGAGTTAAGATGGGTAGTGAGCCACCACAGAGTTTCTGGGAATCAAATCCAGGTCTTTCAGAAGAGCAGTGAGTGCTTTTAATAGTGTATGCCTTTTCAGTTCTACCAGGTTTTTAAGGCGCATTCTGTCCCTATAGCCCAGGCAGGCTTTGAAAATACCATGCTCCTGCCTGAACCTGCGAAATGCTAGGAACATGTGAGCCATCAATCCCTGGCCCGTGATCTGTACGATTTCACAGAAGGCTACTAGTCAACAATGAGTAGTAATGCTAGGTGCAAGTATACTTAATAAATATCACAACGCACAAGAGCTCAAGTCTTGTTCTGATGAAACCAAGAAACTCCTTGTGGATCCACGGGTAGATGCCAGTGCCCAAAACTTACCATGGGGTCGTGTTTGGTGGCACTCTTCCCGGACTCCAATGTTGAGTACACTGGCTCACCTAGAAGTTAAACCAGGAAAATTCATGAGTTCTCCCTTTATTTTCAGGAGGTATCCCAATCCAAATACCACTGACATGTCCAACTCCCCTTGTCGGGATAGAATACAGGGCGACAGGAATACGATAGCAATGCTCATCACAGTGACAAAATCAGCCTCAGACATGGGAGAATTTCGATAGAACACATATGGGTTTGAAGTGTGCTGGTGACATGTACAGCTGGCTCTTAGGCAATCTTGCCTTATCAGCCTTAAAGAACAACTAGAGATTCAGCATTCATGTCCTGTCTGCATGGTATGCCAACCTTTCCTTCAGGACTGGACAGGCACTGTTATGTTCGAGTACTCTTACACATAACACAACAAATATACAATGAAAAGTTCAATTTCTTAATATTATTTTATTTCTTTATGTCCATTGCATTTATAACTACAACAGATAAACACCTTTCCTGATTCAGTGTATAATGAGTGATAGAAGCAGGCATCCCGACAGATTAAATCTACTAAATATGAAATGATGGAGTAAGATAAGTAATTAAGAACAAGAAAACAAATGATTTTACAGGTAGTCGTTTAAATATCCACTGACTTCGGCAGGCTTCATATCGTTGTAGGAAACGGGATGGATATAAATGGCCTGCCATCTATGAGATGATACCCATGGAACTCAGGAGAGTTTGTATTATGGCCGGATAATGGAAGGCATTACTATGGCATCAAAAATAACCTGACACATACACATACACACACATTAGCTGTAACACATATATCGCTCACAGCATGAATGGTGTGGTCAAATGGTCAAGGGAAAAGTCGACTCTTCCTTAGGGCCCGTGCTTGGTTCACAGAAACTACACTGCAGCCGACAGCCATCTGTAACTGCAATTCCAGGGTCTCTGCTGGCTTCTTCTGTCCTTCACATGCCTCACACATGAATGTGATACACAGAAAGAAGATGGAAGCATTTCCACATACATGGGATATCTGCCAAGGAGGGCTGCTACCAGGGCAT